CAAAAAGAGCTGGACTTTTCCCTTTCAGATGCTTACTAGCAACACTCGGTGCAGTGCATGATCCCATATAACATGAAGGGCTGCTGTTGCGCAGCTCCCCTAGTTAGAGAAGACTGCACTGCCCCATCATCTGATAAAAGAAACATTTGTATTACTGCTAACAAACATCATCAGTGAAACAGTAAACCATAAGTAGTCTTAAATAACAGTTGCATGATAATAACAGTCTCCTCAGGATGCCAATAGATACAAAACCATATTGTGTGCATCATCACATGAATCAGAATGAAAAAAAACCTTGAAAAAGTGCTAAAAAGATCTACTTTGTCTCAGAAACAAACTTTCATCCTGTTTTTTCAAGTTTTCACATACTTATCTGTACAAAGATCTTTGTATACGCCTGCAGACACTACACTGGAACTGCATGCGGGTGCAGATAACATTAGCACAGTGAGATAAAGTGACCTTTGTGAGAAGCAGGCCGGCACTCTGTGGAAATTGGAAAGAGGCTGTGAGCGTACAGTCACAGGACTGACTTCAGGTTTTGTTTTATGGTAACCAGGATTTTTTGTTTGTTTGTCTCCTGTTCACAGCTAGAGCAGGACGATATAAAACTCTGAAGAGAAATTTAAAGATGAACAGTCTGTTTGAAAGAGATTCATGCAGCAAGTGTGCTACAGCCAGCCAACAGAGATTAGAAAGGGCACGGGTTTGTCTGGGTCAGGTTTAATTTAACTACCATCTGGGGCAGCTGATGGGACCCTTACATTTATTTATGTAACAGACACCCTTACTAGCTCCTCTGCAAACACTGCACCTCAAATTAATGTTAGGATAAACTTTTTATTAAATCAATCTATTAGCTCTTACGTTTCAGTTATGTTAATGTTTGGAAACATCGACTTCATCTTCCCACCAAGATACTCTCTTAACGTTGGTGCAAATATTTCATTGCCACATACCGAAGCAAGAGAGCCAACCCTATTCATTCAGGTTCAGCTCTTGTCCTCCTGGGACCACAACATAAAAGCCGTGGCTCCACTGTGCATCAGGTAATCTAGAACTTGTAATTACTGTCACACCAATTTCAAGTACAGCTGTCCTCATCATAAAAGAAAGAGATCCGATGCCCAAATTAAAAAAAAAAACAATGCCCATAACTTCGTCCACACCACATTCTTAGCCAACACATCAGATCTGAAATACCATATTTTGCTTATTTCTTACATCAAGCAAAATTAAAATATGCAAAGCCTCTACCATTCCAGTTGTTGGCTTCCATCTACATTTTACATTAAAACAGCCTTAGAAAAGTTCATATGGATCACTGTGAAAACCAAATGGCACACAGCCAAGCCACAACATAGTGCAAAAGTAGGACAGTCATCTGCATAGAACCTGCTGTCACTAAAATCGATGACTAAAGCGTTGTGGAATATTTTACTTGATTCTTGTTAGAAATGCAGAACAACACTGCAGTCATTGCACAGCAAGATGGGATTTAATGCTCTAGGCAAGAAGTTGATTTTTTTTTTCTTTTTAAAGATAGAAATAAACCACTATAAAGAATTTTATTTATAAAAGTCTGATGGTAATCCCCAAATTGATAGATCTGATGTATGCAATTAAAATATAACTTTTTTCAAAAGATGTATGCAAATTACAAGGAAATTATTTCTGTAATCGTTGCTGTGCAGACTGGTTTAAATAAATAGGTTTTTCTGCTCTTACTGCAATAACAGCCAGTCTGTGGGAACACTAACGATAAGTTTAATTTCCCTTTTTCAAGTACACTAGTTGTTATTTTTATATTGTTGATAATTTTCAGCTTGTAAGCATATTTTTAAAAATGAGAAGAATGGTCAAAAAGAGATTAACTGTTATCATGTCATTTGCAGTTCCCTCATTTCAAGCTTTTCTGCATATACTGAAAGGTATAATTGTCCTCTGCCTGTAAAGACATCTGGTATGTACATGCAAATGAGGGTCACCATAATTTCCATAAGAGACAGAACTACTGTTGCACTGAACATTAGTCTCTTCACAATAACAGTCTAAAGTGTTGGTGAGAAAACACAATAAATCAAATATTATTAATAAAGTAAATCAAAACCTTGTGAGGAAATGTGAAGTTCGTTTCCTAGAAAACAAGTCTCTAAATTAAAGTAATTCCCTGTTCTTGAAGTTTGCCACATAAAATTTATTTCCATCATAACAGCACCAAAAAGAAGAAAGCCTAATTATTGATGATGCAATTTAAAGCTTTACTCTCCAAGTTGTTTATAAGCTGTCAAATGTTGATAGCAAAAAAAAAAAATGTGCTTTTCATATGCTATAAATCTAGTGATCACCTCAAATTGTAAAGCTTCAGATACGGATGTCTGAAATCAAATCTAAGAAAACAGGTGGAAGAGATTTAAAACACAAAAAAGATTCAGCTCAATCAGGGGGGCCTGAACTCCTTCAGAGGGGGATGGCTTTTTTTATGTTAAAAACTGGCATTCTAATTTTCAAGACTGAAATTGAGGATTTCTGTTCAAGACTACTGAAAAACAAAAGTATTCTTTAATTTGAATCTGGAAAATAATGTCAATGCTTTACTTTAGTATTTCAGACTCCTGGAGTAGGCTGCTGTGCAAAAAAGCCACTAATTTTAATTTCTCTTTCCAGACAGGTTCATTCACAAATATTACTGTGATGTAAAGCACAGTAGAATGTGCACAAAGAAAGCAACTATGAATGCAAATAATTACATGTTATATAATTTTAAAAATCTATATTATAAAACAAGAGTCTTTTATGCAAAACAGTTGTTGATGGCTTAACTGTTTTCTTACATGTGATTTTTAAATCATGTCATTGCTCCCTTCATAAATCATACTATTTTGTTTAGTTTTCATAAAAGCACAAAAATATTCTCACTGGATTTTTTTGCAAATAGCTCCAGTACATACATGGTTACTGTGCTCATGCATCTAGAACAGACTTCCATTCAAAACAAACCTGATTACAGATTCAACTGTTTAAATCTTGTAAGGGATGCTCGTAGGGCATATTCTCTGTATTCTCTTAGTTCTACAGTTTTCTCAGTGAAAAATAAATGGAAAATGTTGCTGAGTTTCCTCTGTATACATACCTCCTATGTGGCAGAGGCCTTCTCTGTTCGTGAATATATTAGCTTTATATAGAAACTTCAGATGGGGGGAAGAGACGGGGGCAAAAACCTCAAAGCGCAGGAAAATATAACCATCCATTCACACTATTTCATTTGTAAACTCTTCATTCCTACGCCTTTGTGAGAGGATACAAGCTGCCTAACAGGCAAGGTAAAAGAATGCTTTCTTGAGTTAGTCACCTTATGTAGCCTGAGCAGCAGCCTACCACAGCTACCAAATTATACTACTCACAGTTTCCCTTCTCTTCTCCATTTTATGCTGCCTTTTCAAGTCATTAATGTTTTTTTTTCTCCTCTTTTCCCCTTCTGAAGAGGAAATTGGTTCCTTTCTGTAGTGCTGTCCATCTGTGCTTGCATGGCATTTTCCTTTTTGTACTAAGCAAATCCTCATCACTGCCTCAGTCTAATACCAGACGCAGCTCTCAAATATTTACAGTACAGCAGAACAGTGCCTAGCACAAGAAAACCATAAACAGGATCCTAGTTACAGAAAGCTTCACATCTGAAAAATCTACTTATGCAGAGAGCTGGTCTGCCTACAACAGCGCAGCTCTTTGCATTTTTCAACAAGAATAATTTAAGGCATCCAGCCTTTTCCTACAGGGTTTAGACAAAGGAGAAAAGCAGAAAGAAAAACTTCAAAGAGTTATGCACTTCCTTTACTGGCACTACTGCCAGGCTAACACTGAATAGAGAGGCTATTCTCGGTAATGAAATGTGACTGTTTGTAAGATCAGGCCTTCGATTTTAAAACTGTCAGCACAAGTAAAGACAATAGTACATGCAAAGGATTGAATTCAAGTATTTAAAATGTCTTTTCAAAGACTCCCTGGAAAAAAATCCTTAATACATGTCACTCACCTGAAAAGACATTAGGAAATGTCTCTGTAGAAGCCTGCACCCCTGAGGACTTTCTTGAATGAGTCAAAGGCAGTCTTTCCGTGTGAAAATTCTCTCTAAACCCCTTGTGTTCCAAGTAGCCTGAAGAGCCCACCTTCTGCGTTATCTCGCATTTGTGATTAGATACTTCTTCTGTCCAGTCTGCAGAACGACTAAATAAACCTGCCAAACTAGCAGACCTCTGCTTCTTGATTGAGACCTTTTCTTTTTTGTGGAAGGACTCCTGCCTCCTTGTAAAAAGCGGGCTCTGGGATGGAGAGGGAGATGGTGAATGGTTGGGAGAACTCAGTTGCCTAGTTGTGGTTTTGATGTAACAAGGATTAATTAGATAGGGCTTAAAGCATCGGGAACCAAGCATTGGACTTCCTGCTGTCCCTTCGGAGGACAAAATGCCATTTTTCATTTCCGAGGATAAACCATTATGCAGGTCCTCTTGACTGGCTAACAGAGTGTGTTTCCCTTCCTGAGTCTCAGCAGCACGATCACGGCCTGCATCTGAAACACCATCCTCTGTTACTGTGTCCTGCAAATCAACAGCCTGCACTTCAGCAATTTTAGTCTCAGCATCTGCTACCGAGGTTGGAAAAGGTTGTGTGGAGCTCTGTGTCTGAGACTCATTTTCTACTGCAGTCCTATTTAAATCGCCTTCTAGTTCACTAGCTACAGCATCCACTCCAGCAACGAGCTGTTCCTGTTCCTCAATCAATAGCTTACGTTCTTGTGTTTCAAATAAGCTGTTACCAGGAGAGCCTGTGCCATTTACTGCTTCTTTCAGTTCACGTTCAGTCGCACGGGAGACGGGAATGTTTTCCGCAATTTCAGATATCTCTGGAAAAGCCCCCTCAGTGTCTGGGCTCCTCTCTTTGTCAGTGGTAGTTACTGAAAGAAACCGTTCAAAATCTAAGGGGGCTGCTTGCGAATTAGCCATGTGTTGGCCCATTGTTTTGGTGACAAGGTCCTCAGTTCCAATGTTAATTGCCCCCTGCTGCTGCTGCTGCAGTCTAATAGCTTGCTGGATATCAGAAAGCAAATCCTCTTGTTCTGTGGCTGAATGGAAACTGTATATATCCGTATCAGAGCCAGAGCTGGTCCTTTGTCCATCCTGTGTCTCCGCAGCAACCGGGACAGTTTCATTTCTGATTTCAAAATGTTCCACATCTGTATCTGAGAGACCCCCTTCATCTGCAGAGATGCTTATATCTGGAGTTTTGGTTATAATTGAATGAGTACTGTCCAGCTCTCCAGCCTGCAAGACCTGGCTTTCCAAAACATCCTCCCGTGAACTACTATTCCCATCTTTAGCCTTGGACAGATTTTTTCTGATCCTCAGATTTGAAAACACCGAGGCCCTCGAGTCTGACTTACCCTTCTTCTTACCCGATTCACTTCCTTTTGCATGCTTCCCCAGTCCCCTTCTGCTTCCCAATACCTTCTTTGTGCCATCCGTATCCTTAGGCCCAGAGGCATCCTCTCCTCCTTCATGCACATCACCTGTATTTTTCTTTAGCTTCCCATCTTGATTCCCCATGATTTTTCGCAGTGCAACGCCTTCGGCAATCAAGCCATGCTCCCGGATTTCAGTCCTTTGGCCTGCCGGCGAGATCCCCTCTAGCGATCCAGGTTTGTTTTCAAGCGGTGGTGATGCAAGTGAAGCAAATGCTTGCTGTGCCTCTCCCCCATCTGCTAGAGCTGCCTTTTTGCATAATGTGCTGCTTGCACTGGGCTCCGCTGGGACATGCTCAGTACAGCACTGAGAGCTGCAGACAGCTCCTTCCAATGGCTGCTGCTCACAGAGCCGCCTGCTCTCCGGGCTTCTGCTGCACTCTTGTTTCTTTAGGAAGGTTTCTGTGAAAAGTATTTCCTTTATGAAAGTCACTTCTTTTTCCACGGTTTTTATTGCCTGCATTGCAAACTCAGCTCATCACCGAATCGTTTATAATTTCAGGATTTCAAGTTCCTGGAGGGAAGAAGAAGAAGAAAAAAAAAAGTTAAAGCAGGGTACTTTAATTACTCTGCAATTGTTTAAAGGAGTAAACTAATAACCTTGGAAAGAGAAATATTATGATTATTTAATAGTTTATAAGATGCTTAAGCACATGCTACTTTGAAAAATTACACAGTACCTCTGGTGATTCACATGTTTACTTTTTAAAGGCCACCAAAACACAATATAGTTTTAAAAGGAGAGTCACTCTGAGAGTAGATAGAAGATAATAAACAAAAAGTTCTTTCCACAGTTTTAAAGAGTTGCACTTAAAATTCAATGCATCATGGTAATTACACCATAAAAAACCTCTGACAATTTGTATTCTGAGAAGGTAGATATACTATTATTCCCAGGAGAATCAACTCATCAATATTAAAACGCACACCATTGTTATCCCTGATAAGAACATCTGTCATGAAATAAGACAAAACAAACTAGAAAAATAGCACTATTCAAATGCTACTAAGGAAAAAGGATACTGCAAAGCATTCCTCTATTTCACTCTATATATTTAATAATTGATTCAAATACTGCCACTTGCTAACAATTTTTGGAGCTTCTGCAACAGTTTTAGTCAGTTACTTCTGCTCTGTTTTTGGTTTAGATATATTTATGAAATATGGATGCTTATGTGTTTCCTGAAATTCCAGACAGGTACTCCCTTCCACCTTTACAATTTAGATTTAAAATAACTGGAATAGAAACAAAAAGGCATATGAACGCCAAACTGCCAAGTTGGATCAGCTCAGCAGTTCAATATCTTGGTTCAACACCAGCCAAGAAGTAATTAGATAGATTTCTGTTTATGATTTATGTCTCTAAACTGCCTGGTCTATTAGGTTCAGTTTCTGTCAAAGACTTTATGTATTCCTCACACCTCTGATCTTCATTGTTAGCAATTTCCCTTTCATCAGAGATTGCTTAAAACAATACATCATTCCAGGGAAATTGCAGCTTATTTAACTTTTAGTATTATTCTCTTCCTACCAGAGGTTTCACCTGCTTTCCTCTGTATTAATATACCCTAAGGAAGAGTATAATTCACACTTTAAAAACTATGCAGGCACCTCCCCAACACATACACTGTTTTCTTCAAGTGATGATAGATACCTTTACAAACCTGGGCTGTGGTCATTGTTAAATAATTGCTGTTAATTCAGTTTGGAAAGAATAGCGCTGTCAATAATACATGCAAGTAAATTATTTTGAACTATCTTATTTTTTTTCCTGTGTTTCTTGGTCACTTACTGCTCTGATGTGAGTCCTGTCCTGTGGGGCCTGTGGCTCAGACACTAGAAGCCTTCTGTCTACAAGAACTCAAGCGTTGTAAGTAGATCAAATGACTTTGTACACTCAGTGTTGTTTTTTTTAGTTTTCACTTACTTAATGAAGTGATTCATATTTTTTTTTCCCCCCATTTTTAGCACTCAGCATTCATAAACATACTAGCAAGAGCTAGGAGAGCAAAAGCTGCAAGAGCATATTAAGTAATTTTTTTTTTTTTACTCCATTCCTAAAAAAAACTTTCTGTTATCCTACTTAGTTTCTAACTTGTTGCAGTATTTTACCTTTTATGGCATTATTACATACTTGCAAAAGGCTTTTGAAAGCTCAGGTAATTTATGTCAATCTGAAAATAAATTGTAAGAATTCCTTAAGGGGCAGTTTTAGGGAACCATAGTAGTAAAATACTGCCTTGATGGTTTTTTTCACTGACTAGAACTGACAAGGATCTAACCCTTGATTACAACTGGAGTACTTGCAGCTTCCAATCCCATTTAAAAGCTCTTCTCCCACTAAAGTCTGCTAGAATTTAACATAGTGCAGAAGTAATATAAAGATACTGTGGACTGAATATGTAAGGGACATACAGAATTAGTGTGATGTTCTAAAACATTCTCTTTCCTTCCTTCCCTGTAAACTCACGTTACAAACCAAACACACTCCCATTACAACTAATGATAATTCATGAGCAGTAATTACACCTCAAATTATTCTGCAAAACTAAGCCATCAAAGCAGGGTTATAAGACAGTCAAGTTAAAGACTGATCTTCATTTTTTTAATTAGAAATTATAAACTTATACTGGTTTAAATCATGTATCTGCACTATTTCCTAGAAGCTTTCATACAGCACATCCTGATAAGCATGTTCTTTAGAAAACCATAAATGTATAGCCATAGATATTACCTGAATTTAAGTATATTACACTAAAAATTATTCTGTTTTTTCAATCTGCAGCTCTAATCTTAAAAGCAAAAGAATAGCAAGAAAAAAAGAAAGCCAAACTATTTTACTATTCTCTAGATAGTCTCTCTTAATGTGGTATCCTAACCATCATGGATTCTGACTAGGATTTCTGATCTATATGGGGGAAGATCATCACCAAAATGGGCATACTTATGTGAACAGAGAATGCGTCAAAGAATTTGCACTGGTTCCACATAAGGCACAGAAAATATATCTATATTTCTCTTTTTTTTAAAAAAAAAGGAGGGTGGAGGCAGAACAGAAATTTCACCAAAGTGGTAGTGATAGATACAACTCTCAATCAGAACTTGTGGGAAAGTACAAAAAGTTAACATTAGCCAAACATAAAACCAAACGTTAATACTTTGAGGTTTGTTTATTCTCATGAGTCTTTTAGCTTCTGAAGAAAAACACATTATTAAAAGTCAGCAAGAAACCAGAACATTTTGGCACCAATATAAGCTACATTCTAAAAGCTAAGAATGTATTCAATAGCCTACACCAAAAAAAGAGACTTTTAGCAGAAAGTAAATGGGGAAAAGAGGGGAGTTTAGGTGTTCAAGAAGGATATTTCATTTTTAAGAGTAACTATAACTCATTCTTAGCTTGCTAAAAATTGTCAACAAACAACAAAGGCTACTCTGTGAGTCTGCCTGCCTGCCTACCTACCTAATTTAACATTTGCCAGCGGTCAGTCAAAACCACCAAGGGACTCCAGATCTCCTCCAGAGCTCAGGAGACACAAATGGTGACCACACAGAGGAGAGTCAAAACTTACAGCTCAAGACGCATTGTCCTTACACTCCCAGAGACTTCCACATTAACACATTCCTGTTAGAAAATTAAGCTCCTATTACGAGACTGATTATTTCTAAGAAGACAGTTCCCACTTACTGCAGCCTCTCTGGATAGGTGGCCAGGTCTGGCCACGTCTGGCCAGGTCTCCCCACGTCTGGCCAGGTCTCCCCAGCTCCGCCCACCTGCCCTGCCGGGAGGAGAAGGGCTGCCGGCAGCACCAATTGCCCACACCTGGGTGGGGGCCTCGGCCACCGGGGCACAGCTGGGGCAGAGCCCTTTCCTCAGGCAGGGCTGGGACTGCGGTGGGAGTGTTCCCCTCCTCAGATTCTTCACAAAAAGGCAGGGCACCCAGTTGACACCCTGACATTTTGGGCGTGTAGCAAACATGAGTCACCTGCGGGGAGGAAGGGGCTGCTGGGGGAGCCTGTCTTGGGGAGGTAATAGCTTGCTTGGGATGGACAAGTTTTCACCCTTATTCATTTACAGTGATATTTCATTCTGATAGCGGTCATCCAGCAAGTCCATATGGAGTGAAGATAATGACGCCCCGTTACTGTTGCTGACGGGCACAGTGTGCCATGGGCTGCAGCTGCCGGGAGCAGAGCCGTCAGGACAGGGTCGGGCTTCCCCAGCATGCTCCCAGGGAAGGGTTTAAACCACAGGCATACGGCAACACACAAAGTGCCCAAAACAGCACCTCAGCTGCTGCAGCCCAGGGCAGGTTCCGTCCGGGGGTCAGCCACAGCATGGCTGCCCAGGGCAGTGGCCTGCTGGAGGAGGCTCGCCCTCATGCTCCGAGGTGGCAGACTCTCCATCTCGCCTCTGCACAGAGGAGGGCTGAGGGTGAGGCGGCAGCAGTGCGAGAGTTGCAGGAGGGCCTGTGTGCCATGACAGTGCTCCGGGAGCTGGGCTCTGCTCCCTCCAGCAGCACGGCTCCGATGGCCTCCCTCCGCCCCACTCCCGAAGGGGACGAGGCTGCTGCTTGGAGAGGAAGAGTAGAGACATCCCGGGGGATCCTCACCTCTGCCGTACACACCCTGCAGAGATTTATTTTTTAATGAGTGGCTCAGTGTGCATGGATTTGGGTTGGAGATGAAGTCATCTAGAATACCAGAATTACTTTAAAGTACTCTGGTGTCGTATTACTGATTGGGATATGGTAATGCAGATGGTACGAAGAAAAGTTTGATCAAGCAGACCAGGATATTCCCAGCCATCTAAAGCTTTAATATTCATAAGCAAGTAGAGGGCTCATTCTCGTTCAGTCTAGTGCTGGAGCCCGGTCCCTGTTCCTGCCATCCTGTGGCAGTGGGAAGCCTCCCCCAGCTGCCATTCTGAACGTGTTGAAAAGTAATCTCCCCAGAAGGCATCGACTGCCATTAAATGCTCCCTTACACTGCCAAAGCCATGCTCCGAGCAGTTGAAAATTGTTTCCTGCCCTCAGACTCGTCGTCTCTTTCAGTTTTAGGGAGAATTGTCTTTTCTGACTCTAGCAGACTCACCTCCCTCCTCTGACTGGCAAGGGTCAAGTCAGGAGATCAGAAAATGTAATGTAGATTAAGACACCACAGTGGCTAGCGATGAAACTGCCATTGCCTCGTCTACTTTCTAGTTGATATGAGATTCTGCTTTTTCTTCTAATACTCATTTCAGCAGTATGAAATCACGCCTCATGCATTGTATTTATATTAAGTTGAGGTGATCCAGATAATAAGAAACCTTTTTTTACCTACTGAAAAGTTCCTTTTACAAGGAGCTTGAACCTAGCGAGCAATGATCCTAGGCGAGTGTTTGGCTTGCCTAGGAGCTTTTATTAGGCACATGAGAAAATGATGACTAGGATTTTCAAATGCCTATTACCTAGTGCTGAGCTTTCTCCCATGTAATTTCTGGCTAGTGAGGACTAACATTTAAAATTAACGTATCTGAAGAAGCAGGGTCTCCAGCAATGCAATGTTTGCCAACTACTATGCTGCAGAATGGCCACCGGTTAGGAGCCAAAATCTTTGTGAAGCATTTAATCTCCTGGATTTCTCACCTAAATGCAATAATACATTTATGCATTGTGAAAACACAGATTTTTTTGTTTAAAAATACGGTTGTCTGAACATATAGATTCCCATATACATTCCAACAAGTCATTTTATTATTTTCCCCAACATTTCTGTATTCTATTGCTGCTTTGTTGTCAAATATACTTTTCCGTTTAAAAGCTATACAGAACGTTTCATAGTTACTAATATAGGAGGGGTTGGCCAAACAGCTGCATGCAAAACCCTGCCAGCATTCCAGAGATGTATGCATTGCAGATCAGGGTCAGGTTGCAGAAACAGTCTCTGAAAATCTAGGCCTCTGCACATACTGCAGCTGGGTACTCCGGTGTTTGGAGCACAAGATGCTACGCTAGCATTGGAACCAAACATGAGCAAAAAGGGAGCATGAAGATCTGTTCTATTCCATATCACAGACTGAAAAGCGAGGTATCTTGTGGCACAGCTCCCACTGTTCCTTGCATTAAAGTTCATTTCAGACTGATTTTACTTCAAATGAAGATAGCCAGTGGTTGTTTGGTAATATATGCTAAGCAAATTCAATGCAACACAGCTTAGGCTGCATCATGAAAAAAATAATTAGCAAAATATCTGCTGACCAGGCTATCAAAGAAGCACAGATAAGAAAGTTCCTGCCATTTTAACTGCTGGAAAAAGTACAGTCAAAAACCTGAGTAAGAGTCTAAGTAATAAATTTTATTTTCTAAGGGAGTGAAATTTATGCAATAAGAGCGTTTCTTCAGACCTCTTAATAGCTTTTGAACACAGTAGGAAACATCAACCAAGCTTTTAAGATGAAGATCATTAAACCCCTGCAAAATTCACACACATACAGAATCAGTATTTGGGTAGAGAAAGTATTTGGGAGGGAAAGATAAGCAGAACTGACTGTGTCAGTCAATCAAACAGGATTTTCATAGTTTAGGACTGCCCACCACAAGCAAGCATTTCATAGGGAAAAATGAGAGCAGAAGTGATTTATTGTACTAAAGGATAGAGAAAGGAACAAAGAATACAAATCTGTACGAAACTGGGCCTCCTTATTTTCATTCCTTAGAGAAGAACATATTCTGTTAAATCAAGCAGAAAATTACATATTGTCTTTTTGGTTTTCTCGGACAACTCCCAGAGTACTTAATGACAGGGCTGAAAAATGTGGACTTTGATCATATCAGTAGACCTTTTTGCCTGCAGAGAGACCAAAATGTTGTGAAACAATGGCAGATTTTTGAGCCTAGTCCTTTTCTGTAGGAGACAAGGGATTAACTTCAGTAATTCGGGCTCTATTTTCTCTTTCTACTGCAACAACTATCTACTAATCTGAAGGAAAAGCTGACAAAGATCAAGTTTTTCCTAAGATGTTTCTCTCAGTTTTTAAAAATCTCAACTGGTGACATGGTTTGTTTTTAAAAATATGTGGATAGAAAAAAACATTCACCGTTTTTTACACTCTTCTTTTAGGCCTAGGTTTCTGTTCTGTTGCAGACATTCGCACACACGCACATGGATGTGCAGAGTTTGGGTCAAATAAAAAACTAAGGTATAGATCACTTTTCAGTTTTTATTAAAACAGCAAGAATCCTCCTATCAATTGTCATAAATATATTCCCCCTAGAGAGAACAACTCTGAGGCAAGGTCACTTCGTAAACCACCTGGTGAAATTTACAAAATTGGATGGTTTTGAAGATAAGCCAATATTTTTGTATAAATTTATTGCATTGTCTCACATACATTTAGTAATTAGAACACTTTTTTAATAGTATTTCCATAATCAGATTTGGGATTAAACAAGTCCAACCTGATAAGATAGGAAAGAGCACCTCTTTCCTAGCCTTTGGCTTACTTCGGTACGTTAGCAAGGCGAACACTACTTATACTAACGAACTAATGAACAAAGGCGAATGCCCTCATCTATTTAAGAGTTCATGGGATGAAGGCTTTTTGCAGCTGAAACTAAAATAAACTAAAATAATAAACCAGCATCCAATGCAGAGAAAGATAAGCACTGAGAAGCCAGAAAAGAAAGGAGCTCTCAGGAAACCAAAGGAAAGCTGAATAAGTATGTATCTTTTTTATATGCGTCTCATGGTTTGACTTCCTCTTACTGTGATCCTTTGCTGCTGTCACATGATGATCAGCAAGAGTGACCCGTGCAGGGGTTCATAACTGCCGTCTTCAGATTTCTGCTTTTATTTATCTCCACAGTACAGCTCAAACTGAAATTGCTATAGCAAATATAACAATTCAAGCTCGTGCCCTAAGTAGAAATCGGGGGAAGCTACTGCAGTGAATAATCTGGATAGATCCAGTCTCTGCTAAGAGCCGCTGATGCACAGCAAACCGTATCCTCCACTTTAAGGAGCAGTTGGCTGAGTTGTGGCCTTTCCTCAGTAAAATCATTGCCTTGTTCATGCAAGTGCAGCATAGTTGACCTAACACTTTTGTTTTAGGGCTTTATATATTCTCATAAAAGGGGAAAGAGAGACCAAGAAAGTGAGAGGAGTTTTTGAAACCTGATTCAAGGCCTTGAGATCTATTCTTTCTGGGCTTCTTACTTAGAAAAAAAGGCTAGCCTTAGAACTGTTTAATTTAATTTCCTAAACTGACTAATTTCTATAGAATACTAGTTCTTTCCAATAAGTTCCCATATAGAAGACACAAGCAGATCAGCTTTATAAATATCCCTCAAAGTATCCCAGAGTTGGATGTTATTGGTGCAATTAATTTGATCTGTATTCAAATATTTTGTAATTTACCTGTTCTGTTAACTCTGCAGTGTAGTAAAGCAGCTGGCTTGGGGGACAGCAATAGTTAATCAGCCACAGCATCACAGGATGTAGGTTGGGCTGCAAATCCACCTAAATACGGTACTTGCTAACAACCAGCAGTCCTGGCTGCCTAACTAGGCTGAACAATCTACACTAAGACAGGTGCAATGATGTAAAGTGGGCTCAATCCATAACGTTTTATGTCCTTGGCTAGGTCTTAGCGT